AGATTCAATGCAATTCCTACCAATACCAATAGTACTCTTCACAGAACTAGAATAATCCTAAATTTATATGGAATGCAGGAAACCCTGAACAGTCAAAGCAATCTTGAGAAAGAAGAACAAAGCTTAAAGTGTCATAACCCCAGTTTTAAATACTTTTACAAGGGTATTGTAATCAAAACCATATGCTACTGACACAAAAACATATGCACAGATCAATGGAACAAAGAGCCCAGAAATGAACCTATTCTTATATGGTCAATTCATGAAAAAGGAGGCAAGAATTTACAATGAGAAAAGGACAGTTCTTTGATAGCTGGACAGAAGGACACTGGACCACTTTCTTTATTCACAAAAATAAACTCAAAATGGTTTAAAGACATGTCTGAACCCATAAAACACCTAATAGAAAACATAGGCAGTAATCTCTTGGACATTGGCCTTAGCAACATTTTTCTAGATATGTCTCTCAGGCAAGGAAAACAAAAGCAAAAATAAACTATTGGGATTACACCAAAATACAAAGTTTCTGAACATTGAAAGAAACCATCAAGAAAACAAAAATGGCACCCTACTGGATATGAGAAAATATTTGCAAATGATAGTATCTAATAAGGAGTTAATGTACAAAACATATAAAGAACTCATACAATACCAAAACACCCCTAATAATCTGATTAAAAATGGGCAGAGGATCTGAATACACATTTTCTCCAAAGAAGACATACAGATGGCCAACAGACATATAAAGAGATGCTTGACATCACTAATTATTAACAAAATGCAAATCAAAGCCACAATGAGATATCACCTTACACCTGTCAGAATTGCTAGTATCAACAAGAAATACCAAGTGTTGGTAAGGACATAGAGAAAAGGGAAATCTCTTACACTGTTGTAGGGGACGTAAATTGATGCAGTTACTCTACAAAACACTATGACGATTACTCAAAAATTAAAAATAAAAATTACCATATGATCTAATAATTCTGCCACTGGGTATTTACTTAAATCAAATGAAGACACTAATTGAAAAAAATATAAGCACCACTACATTTATTGTAACATCATTTACAATAGCCAAAATATGGAAGAAACCAAGGCATCCATTGAAAGATGAATGGATAAAGAAGAGACAGGAATATTATTTGACTATAAAAAAGAATGAGATCTTACCATTTGTGACAATATGGATAGACCTAGAAGGCATTGTCCTAAGTGAAATACGTCACACAGAGAAAGACAAATACCATGTATTTGCACTTATATATGGAACCTAAAACACAAAGGAAATGAACAAACAAAAGAAACAAATTATAAATACAAAGGAGAAACTGGTGGTCACCAGAAGGGAGCAATATGTGGGGTGGGGTGGGGTGTGTGTGTGTGTGTGTGTAATAGATGAATGGGTTTATGAAGTCCAAACTTCCATTTATAAAATGAACAGGTCCCAAGGATGTTGAGTAGAGCATAGGGACTATCAATAATGTAATAACTTTGTATGGTGACAGACGGCTACCTATTCTTATAGTGGGGGGCGCTGTGTAATGTACATGATTATTGAAGCGCTATGTTGTAATGTGAAACTAATATAACATTATATGTCCTGTATACTTCAATTAAAAAAAGGAAGTGGGGCACCTGGGTGGCTCAGTGGGTTAAAGCCTCTGCCTTCGGCTCAGGTCGTGATCCCAGGGTCCTGGGATCAAGCCCCGCATCGGGCTCTCTGCTCAGCAGGGAGCCTGCTTCCTCCTCTCTCTCTCTGCCTGCCTCTCTGCCTACTTGTGATCTCTGTCAAATAAATAAATAAAATCTTAAAAAAAAAAAGTTATCTTGTAAAAAACAGTTTGCTAAGGTTCAATGGAAGTTGAAATAGTGGAAATCGAATTGTCACAGGCTTTTTTCCTATTGACGTGGTTATATGATGTCTCTCCTTTATCTTTAAATGTTTTCTAAAGCTAGAGCACCTTACCTTGCTCACTTAAACCCAACTGGGTCATAATATATACTGCATTTTTATACATAAGTCTGTGGTACTCTTGGTGAGTGTACTGGTGAGTATAATAAAGTTTGAAAGTAATATGATAGGTTTTTTTTTCTTTCTGAAATTGTGTATACCTATGCACTAAGTCCAAGCAATCCAGTCTGAGTACATCAGAAGACTTTCTAGTCAGGTCCATAAAAAAAAAAAAATCACTTGTAAAATTTTATTTCAGATTCCCGTATATCTGTTTGTGTTACTGTAGGGAATTAGATGGACTATACTATGTATTGAATGGTTAAGACATATGCAGAGGATTGTAATGTGGGCCACTATGCAGAGGTCAGAAGCAACTTAGGACATTCGCATATAACATGGAGGGGTGCTTAACACACTAGTAAGTGAAGAAAGAAATAGTATTTACCACAAGAATTTTTTATGTAAATTAAAAGCATACACATAAAATACAGTACAAGGGGGCGCCTGGGTGGCTCAGAGGGTTAAAGCCTCTGCCTTTGGCTCAGGTCATGATCCCAGGGTCCTGGGATTGAGCCTTGCATTGGGCTCTCTGCTCAGCGCAGAGCCTGCTTCCCTTCCTCTTTCTCTGCCTGCCTCTCTGTCTACTTGTGATCTCTGTCAAATAAATAAATAAAATCTTTAAAAAAATAAAGAAAATAAAATACAGTACAAGGATACTCACATATTCAAGGACAAAAATCAAAAATACCTTCCTGCTTTTTCATGTTATATGACACAGCCTACTTCCCACCTGGGATGCCTTGCCCTGTACCAATCCAAACTTGATAGGCAGTCAGTCCCTAGTTTAGGACCCAGCTCTACAGAAATCTTTCCAGCATAGTTCTAGACCACATTGATCTCTCCCACGTTCCAAATTCCTGTGACATATTTATACATTTTCTACCCTGTCAATGTCCTACATGAAACAAGGCAAAAAAATATGATCAGTTGTGAGTAGGTGTTTTTGACATCTTTCTCCAACTGGATGTTAGGTGGAATGACTGTCTATATGCTTGTTCCCCATGGAGCTCTGGGTACTTTGGATCACTGGTTATTAGAAAAATATCTTATTTCCAGGGTGCCTGGGTGGCTCAGTGGGTTAGAGCCTCTGCCTTGGGCTCAGATCATAATCCCGGGGTACTGGGATCGAGCCCCACATCGGGTTCTCTGTTCGGCGGGGAGTCTGCTTCCCCCTCTCTCTCTGCCTGCCTCTCTGCCTACTTATGATCTCTGTCTGTCAAATAAATTTTAAAAAAGTCTTAGAAAAATATTATTTTCATGCCATGTCAGGACAACTAGATTGTTCTTGTCACGAAGACAGGCTCTTGCAATCATCTTTGTTTACTACATTTTTCTTCTGAACTTTCCCCTTTTCTCTTCATTTCTCTTCCTTGGAAAAAGATTTTGGCATGGACACAGTCTTTCTAATTCCTTTTGCTTTGTTTTTTCCTCTTCCCTACTCACCACAGGCAATATTAGAGATAGTGAAGTCTTTATAGTTTTGCTTAATCACCTGTTTCAATGACTTCTTCATCTGGATAGGTGGAAAAGCACCTGTGTTCTTAACTGGCTCTTGTGGCTGTACAGAACTTATTTTTTCTTGTCCCTGAAGACATTTATTTTCATCTAACTGTATTCACTGTCACCTGGTTTATGATGAACCTAGGGCATAAGTTTGAAAAGGCAATAAGGAGTAGTGCAGTTGGATGGTGACAGAAGGCTACCGGCTCTGCTCACTGGGTGGGTCCCAGAGAATCACACAGAAAGTCTTTGAGATTCCTGTATCTATATAGTTTACCAGAAATCACTGGGATAGAAATTTCTTAGTTTTAAGACATGTCAGTCCTTGTGGTCATAGTGTAAAAATACCCCAGTGGCTCTACTGTGTGGATAGCCGTTGCTCTGAAAACTTGGGGTCTAAAAAGAACCCTACTTAGGACACATTGTTGGTGAACACCAGGCAGGGAAATGGTGGGTGGTTGAGAGATTTCTACTGGTTTGAAAAAGATATAAAACAGGAAGGACTATCTGCTCTGTAGGATAGGGGAAGGGAGTATGAATCCCAACTCTGCTGAGGGGTTTTTGGGCCCTTCCCACCTAACCCCTTAGGTTTTGGTGTGGTTATGTGACTATTACTCTAGCTCTGAAACATATCTCCAACTTCATCTGTCTCTTTATGCCTAAACTCTGCGCCAATTCCTAAGATTTGGTTCTGAAGATCCCAACTGACATATTCAGCCAACTTTCAGCCGCAAAGCCTCTCGAACTGCCTGTACTGAAAGACAAGTTATTCACTTATTTCCAAACTGTCATCTACCATGACTTTGGAAAACAAACAATAAAAATCTGCATAATTGTCATGGTAATTGAAACTGTTTAGAATGTTTCAAATGCTTCCTCTCAATTTCTGTATGTATCTTGATGAGGACCAGTAAAAGAGGTCAGTGGGCTGGCGTGTGGACTGTATGTGTATTTCTGCGGACCGTACTTTGAGAATCGCTGCTGTAAAGGAAAGGCTGTGCAAGAAATGAGGTGGTAGAAATACACCATAGGTCAGGAGGTTACAGTAGAAAAGTCTTCACAAGGGAGCATGAGAAGTTTATCTGAGCATTCTGATATTCTGATATTGCCTTTGCATGTTACAGGTCTTTGGCATAAAGGCAAAAGCAACACTTACTATATTTATAATTCGGGTATGTGCATGATAATGGAGAATTAAATCATTAAAATATACAATGTACATGATACATTAATGCACTCATTTATTCACCCAACATTTGTTTTATACCTATATTTTAGGTGCTATGATTCAAACATGAATAATAAAACATTATCCTTGATCTTAAATTCATAATCTGGTTGTCCCAAGGTTATAATCTTTATGGCACTAACAGACTTTTTCCTAGACCATCTCATCCTACCCAGGGGTTTATTTGCCTTTCCAGGCACTGTATTCCTACATCTAAACATTCCCCGAGGACAACATATCCTTCTGGTGACTCACCTTTCAGGTGTCAGATCCAGAATAGAGATGTGCCACTCTTGGTTCTTGATCCAGGAATATGGTCTAAGTAGAAGAAGCAGTTACAGAATAGGAAGATTAATTGGTCATTATGCTCCCCTAAGAGTTGCTTTATGCTAAAATTGCTATTACACCATCTCTTTTGTTTGTATTTACTATTTTCCCATTCTTCCGCCTTCAACCTTTTTGTGTCATTATGTTTCAGATGTATCTTTTGAACAGCTTAAAAAGGGATTTAAATTTTTTAAAAAAATATTTTATTTATTTGACAGAGAGAGATCACAAGTAGGCAGAGAGGCAGGCAGAGAGAGAGGAGGAAGCAGGCTCCCTGCTGAGCAGAGAGCCAGATGTGGGGCTCAATCCCAGGACCCCGAGATCATGACCTGAGCCCAACGTAGAGGCTTAACCCACTGAGCCACCCAGGTGCCCGGGATTTAAATTTTTAAAATTCTAATCTACAAATCACTGATATTTAACATTAAGGAGACTTGATCCCAGGACCCTGGGATTGTGACCTGAGCCAAAGCCAGACGCTTAACCAACTGATCCACTCAGGTGTCCCAGTCATTTCCTTTTTTAAAAAAATGTGTTTCCTTTGTTACATTTTTTTCCTTTTCTGGTTTAAAATTAGATATTTCTTTATAAGCTGTTCTTAATTAAAAAAAAAAAACAGTAAGCTTACATTTCTACTTTAAAAGGTGCATCTAGAATTTACTAGCATGTAACGTTTTCCTAGTGCTATACTGTTATCACTCAAATCAGTATTAGTTTGCTGGAGCTACCATAGCAAAATACTACAGACTGAGTTGTATAAACATCAGAAATATATTTTCTCACAGTTCAGGAAGCTGTAAATCCAAGATCAAAACGTTGGCAAGTGTGGCTTCTTCTCTGGCCCCTCTCCTTGGCTTGCAAATGGTCCCCTCTTTGCTCTGTCCCCACATGTTCTCCTCTGTTCATGTGCCTCCCTGGTGTCTCTTCCTTTTCCTATGAGGGCAGCAGTTCTATTGGATTAGGACCCTACACAAAAGGCCTCCTCTTAACTTAATAACCTCTTTAAAGACCTCATTTCTAAATATGGTTGTATACTGAAGTACTGGGGGTTGGGACTTCAACATAAGGATTTGGGTTGAACACAATTCCGTCTATTACCCATGTTAGTATCGTCTGGAATCTCAGTGATTTATAGGTTCACATCCTGGCTCTACCACTTCCTAGCTCTGTGACAAATGGCAAGCTATTCAACTTTTCTGTGCCTCAGTATTATCAGTTTCCAGGTATATAGCTCGCAAGGTTGTGAGGAAAATTAAATGAATATATGTATCATATTTAGAACTGTGCATCTGTGTGTGTGTTTTAAGATTTTATTTGAAAAAGAAAGAAAGAAAAGCAGAGGGAGAGGGAGAAGCAGACTCCCTGCTGAGCAGGGTGCCTGATGCAGGACTCAATCCCAGTACCCCAGGACCATGACTTGAGCCAAAGGCAGATACTTAGCTGGCTGAGCCACCCAGGAATCCTAGAACTGTGTTTTGCATTCAGTCTAATTCTACAGTAAGCAATTATCAACTACAACCATTACCACCAGTACTACTAATCTTTGTGCTTTAGAGTTAAGTTTTACATATTACGTATTAGCTCACAATTAGAGCAATATTGTCGTGTTCCTGGTTTCTTCAACATTTCTAAAATCTACTATCTTACTAAATTGATTTCTCATCTTGTGAAATCTTTAGTGTTTTCAGAAAGGGCCAACAGAAAACTGAACAGGTTTTTGTTTTGCCTCCACAAACAGTTAAGTTTATATGATATAGGATTATAAGATGAAAAATATTTGTCTCACAGCTCTGAAGACAATGTTCTATTTTCTTCTTGCATCTAATGTGGCTGATGAAATATCAGATATCAAAGTTAATATCCTTCTGGAAGTTTTTAAAATATTCTCTTCATCTTTGGTCTTATGAAATTTATGCAAATCTTTTTATCTTGCTTGGCACTTTTAATGGCTCATGACCCTTTAAATCTGAGAACTCATATCTACTAACTTCTACCATTTTGATCTCATTTTTTCTTTTATTCTATATTCTGGATGAATTCTTGAGTTAATATTTCGTCTTACTCACTGTATTGTTCTCATTTTGATTTTTAGTGTGTCCTTCAGGTTTTTCCTTTATTTCATCTATCACACATTTCATTTATCGAACATCTAACTAACTCTAAGTACGGCTGCAGTATCTTCTCATGTCATTCCAGAAATGAATTAGATTTTAGGTCCTATGTAACTTAATGTTTCCTTAACATGCAAATTTCTTCTCATTGTTGTGCTTGAAGCTTTCTCTTTCGAGTATTCAGTTTTTTCAAATGGTAAGTTTTGGTTATGTACTCATCTTTGGATTTGAAATTCACTACTGGTCTACTTATAGAGACTTACTTTACTTTATTGCACTTTGCAGATATGGCATTTTTGTTTTGTTTTACAAATTGATGGCTTGTAGCAACCCTGCATCAAGCAGTCTATTGGTGCCATTTTTTTTTAATAGGATTTGCACCCATCTTGTGTCCCTGTCACATTTTGATAATTCTTGCTATATTTCAAACTTTTTCATTATTATAATTGTTACAGTAATCCACGATCAGTGATTATGATTCATGGGAAAATTAGCAATAAATTATTTTTACATTAAGTTATGCACATTAGTTTTTAGACATAATTCTATTGCACACTTAGGAGACTACAATCTTCTCAGGGCTCTCTCCTGATTCTGGCACATGAAACTTTTGTGGGCGTCCAGACCCGAATGCATCTTGGAATGGAGTTTTCAAGTTTCTAATATTAGTCTTTGGATTTTCTCACATTCTCTGTTTTGTTAAAGGAAATTCTTCTTCCTCTCTGTTATGGTAATGAAGTTTTATAAATCTCCTTTCAGACTTTTCTGTGGACTTATAAAATAAGTCCATAGCGTGTGCCAAGTCCACCATTTTTAATAAATTCCAAAACTTCTCTTATTTACTGTCATTTCCTACTTTCTACTGTTACCATCTTGTTATTCCTTTATACTGTGGTTCACTGGTTTATCTTTTATCACTAGATACTGATAAACAAAAGTTTCCGAAAGACTGGCTTTAGAATTGGACAAGTTTTTCCCTTTCTACTCAATAGGCAGAATTTAGTCATCTATAAAGTGGGATATTAAGATTATAAATTTCTTAGGGTTTGTGAGGATTAAGTGTAAAGACATATGCAGACACTTGCTAGTGCCTTTAATCTTTTTCTTTTACTATCTGTTTCAGAAGAAATATGTGAAATAAAACCATTCAGTCTCCATACAAACTCCTTATGTCTACCTTTACTTATTTCAAGAAGATTCACAGCAAAAGACAGAAGTACTATGATGTAAACCATTGCCCATTAGAGTATCCAGAAAAAAAAAAATTTGGTATCAATCACAGATTCTAGGACTTAGGACTGTTGAATTCGCTAATTTTCTATGGTTCATAATGACTTTTACAACTGTATCTGCAATCTCTATTCATTATTCTCCAGAGGCAAGTTGACCTTCCAGAAACACATTATCCAGGACTCTTCGAGTTCTAGTTTCCAACTCATGCTAGTAGTTTCCATGACAGCTGAAGGAACGGGAGAAAGGAAACGGAATGACTCATCTAGGGGGTCAAATAAGGTAAGCCAACTCTCTAAGCCTCTAGGGTCTACTATCCTTTTTCCTTGGGTCCACTCTTAGACTGATCCTTTGCACACTGTAGTCCCAAGAAGTTTAAGACATACATGGTCTTCAGTGTTCCAGATGTTTCAATGAGAGATCCAGAATTTATAGGTCACAGAAAAAAAACCACCACACAGAACAATCCCAAAAGACTCCCCTAGGAGCAACCACTTATGCACGGGGGAGAGTGCGTTCATGGATGAGGAGACCCACAGATAGAGAACCACATGGTTGACAGGTCCAGTAGCATGATAAGCATGGTAAGTGCAGGTCTCTAGGAAAAGAGGGCTTCTGTTACTAGAAGGGGGAGAATTGGTCAGGGCAGAAACAACAGATGTTTTAATACAGAAGGGAATACAAGGGTGCCTGGGTGGCTCAGTGAGTTAAAGCCTCTGCCTTCGGCTCAGGTCATGATCCCAGGGTCCTGGGATCGAGCCCAGCATCGGGCTCTCTGCTTGGCAGGGAGCCTGCTTCCTCCTCTCTCTCTGCCTGCCTCTCTGCCTACTTGTGATCTCTGTCCCCTCAAATAAATAAATAAATAAAATCTTGAAAAAAAGAAAAAGAAGGGAATACAGTTGAAGGCAGGTAAGAGGGAGTCATATATCCTGTCATGAATCCTTTATCTCTAGGGAAGCTTTATCTGAAAGTTTGCTTTATCCGCATGAGTCATATAAGTTACTTATTTAATCACTCATTCATGTACTTAGTCCCAGGGCCTGCAGCTGCAGACTTGGAAACAACTGGGAATCCATGGATGGTCTCTCAGCTCTGAAGGCCTGGGACTGTTTATAAGTGATAAAGGTAGGGGTGCCTGGGTGGCTCATATTCACTAAGCAACTGCTTTCAGCTCAGGTCGTGATCCCAGAGTCCTGGGATCGAGTCCCACATTAGGCTCCCTGCTTGGTGGGGAGTCTCTTTCTCTCTCTGCCCCTTAGCCTACTCTCATGCTTTCTTTCCTGCCCTCTCCCTCAAATAAATAAATAAAATCTTAAAAAAAAGAAGTGATATTCCCTGCCATTGTGAAATATGTGATTTAGTTTCCGTGTTACCTATGTTGTCAGACACATACAGAATTATTTTTTCTTTAAAGATTTTATTTATTTATCTTACAGAGAGAGTGAGGGAGCACGAGCATGAGCAAGGTGGAGGAGGCAGAGGGAGAGGGAGAAGCAGACTCCTTGCTGAGCAGGGAGCCCAATGGAGGACGCAATCCCAGGACATTGGGATCATGATTGAGCTGAAGGCAGATGCTTAACTGACTGAGCCACCCTGGTGCCCCTAGAATTTCTAATACAATATAACATTACAGCCATATGAAAATTGTGCCGTCAGTGCACAGGAGAGGGAGTGGTTGAGTATGGCTTGACAGATCTTGGCCTTGGAGGACAGTTGTTTTTAATTAAAGAATGCTAGGTAGGGTTTTCTTCCCATTAAAAAGGAACAGCTTGGACAATAGACTTAAAGCAGGAATATAAAGTCCTGGTTCTGAAAGTGGGAAACCCATCAAAGGGACACTTTCAGAGCCTAATTTAGTATGAAATATAGAAGTTTAAACTATGCAGGCAGACCCCCTGGTTTCACTTCCAAGTTATTTCTATGCAAGTTTATCTCTTTAGTTGTATTATAGATACTTCCTGGTCAGAGACCAAATCTTATCCTACCTTGGTTTTCCAAGTGTGCCAAGCCCTTTCCAGGAGCTGCTTGGATCAGTATCATTGTTCATATTCCAAAAGAGCAAATCTTTCCTGGCAACACGAAGATACAACTATTAACATATGTCCATACTCTGTTCTCTTCTAAAGCTTCAGTCATCAATAGGTAATAATGAAAACTACAGTCTTTGTCCCAAAATTTTTTTATTTCTGAGTCACAACATGGAAGTATTTTGTGATACACATCTTATTGGGCTTTGCAGACTTGGTGAATGTTGGAGTCTTTCCACAATAATCATGGATATGTTCTCCTGAGAGAGAACACGTCCTTACTACAGGCCATGCCATTCAACACATACATAGCTCTGTAATTCCAAATGGGTGACATTAGCCACTCTTACATCTAGCTTTCTCCCTGGCCAATCTAAGAGGAGTCTTTTGTTCAACACATACAGATTGAACCAATATATTCCGGGAATTCTGTAGATGTTGTGGATGAAACACCTGGTGGGCCACTTGAGACCCTCACAGTCAGGGAGCTTAGACTCCAGCATTAAGCAGAACAGGTAAAGATCACAGGTAAAACCAACGTAATGAAATCATCTTGCATAGCACACTTAGTCACATGAAAAGGAAGCACAATAAAGTAATTAACTAACAGAGAGATGGAGGGACCTACATCTAGATTGTGTGGTCAGGTCTTAGGAGACACTTGCCCTGAGGCTATAAAATCCATGGAAAGATCCTATCTAAGGTAGTATTTAGGTAGGTAACATGGAAACTAAATTACATATTTCACAATGGCACGGAATATCACTTCTTTTTTAAAGATTTTATTTATTTGAGTGAGAGGGCAGGAGAGAAAGCATAAGAGTAGGGTAAGGGGCAGATGGAGAAGGAGACTCCCCACCGAGCAGGGAGCCTAATGTGGGACGTGATCCCAGCCCTCTGGGATCACTATCTAAGGGTGTGACATAATCCGATTTGTAGTTTCCAAAGATCAGTCTGGCTGCTGAGTAGAGAATGCTTTGCAGATGTTTCAAGATTTTAAGCAGAAAGACCCTTTTGTTTCCTATCTGCAGGAGAGAGGCGCTATAGCCTGAACCAGGAAGGAGAGAAGAGACAGGTTGTCCACATACAACAAAATACCGCAGGACTTGGTGAGGAGAGCAACGGATGAATAAAGGTTAGCTTCTGGCTACTGTCTGGGTCTTGCTAAGGTTTTTTGAATTGGAGAAGACTAGGAACAAATGGGTTTGGAATGTAAATCAAGAATTCTACTTTCAGCATGGTGAGTTTGAGATACCACCTAGGCAGGAAATAGAGAGTTAAGTAGGTAATTGGATATAGATCAGAGTTGGAGACAAATATTTAGAAGTCACTGAAACTATAGGCGGGATTTAAAGCAAAGGGTGGGTATCACCTGGAATGAGATTGTAGCGCAAAACAGGTGAATAGGCTTGAACCCCAGGGTATTCCAAATGTAGTGGCCAAGTAGCAGAGGTAGAATGGCCAAAGGAGAGGGGGAAGAAATCTCTAGGCAGGCAAGAGGAGAACACTGAAAGAGTCATGTCACACAAAGCAAAGTGAGGGTCTGGAAAAAGAAGGCGTATTCCACTTAAATGCCACCAAGAGGCTGACTCGGATGAACACAGCAAATGGCCATCATATCTGACAGCACAAAGGTGACCTTAACAGGAGCAGCGGAGAACATAAGTCAACACGGAATGTGTTGAAACAGAGTAGGAGGCAGTGAGGACAGAGAATACAGAATCCCATTGTCAAGGTTTTGTTCCAAGGGGAGAAGACGTGTGACAGTAACTGAAGAGAAATGTAATATCAGGGATCTACAGAGTGTTTAATATATATGTTTTAAAATTTGTGTTCACTTTTTTGAAGATGTGAAGTATTATTAGAACACGGTCCTGTTTCCCGAGGAAACGACCCAGTAAAAAGGAGTAGGCTGATGACTCTAACAGTTACCAGCCTCCTTTCTCTCAGCTACAAACTCACCCCTCAGTATCTTCTCTGCAATAACGGACCCGAGTCTCTCAAGCGTCTCTCCTGCACATTTTCAGACTTTCTCAGTAGAGGGCGCTGGAGGGACATTACCGGAGGAAGGACTTTGGCGGCTATTTCCAGCGGCTCTGCGCTGGGTTGGTGTTGTGGGTATGGGGCTATCTGGTGGAGCTCCCCGGTCTTGTTCCCAGAACCTGTCCATCATTTGGTGATCTCGCAGCCTCCTCTCGGGCTAGCGATGATCTTCCCGGGCCTTTGCAACAGGGAAAACAAAGCTTCCTGCCTATGAAGGCCTCCTGTTTGCGTGGGCAATCCATTCCTTGGCAGGTCTCCTGCAGAATTTGCCCGTGTCCAGGTCCCCGCCTGCTCTGCCTGCCCGTGCCCCTGCGTGCCAATCACCTGCACCCTGCACGCACCACAGGGGGTGATTTTTGCTTGCCCAGCAACTGCACACCAGCTGTGGCCTGGGCCAACCTTCACCCTCTGCTACTTTCATGGATAAGGTCTGACCCTCTGACCCACAAACATGGAGGGCCCCTTCCCTGGATTCCCTCCCTCTACCCTAAGGATACCATATGGTTTCCTTATATGTTACCATCACTCCTTCATCAAGGGTTTCATAATTCTATGAGACATCCTTGGTTTAGTTCACAGTGTGGTGCCTACCTTCTAACGGGGTCCAGAGTAATACAAAGGGAAGAGATTATAACTGTAATAATTCAGCAGTAAATAGTACTTAGAATATACCAGTTTTTGAACATTCTCCTTGGCAAGATCCTCATATGTATAATTAAAAAACACTTACCTTCTGCCGTGAATTGTGTAAGACCAATGAATCACAGACCTGTACCCCTGAACAAATAATACATTATATGTTAATTAAAACAAAACAAAACAAAAACAAAACCACTCACCTCAGTTTCTTCTCAGTAATATTTCTTAACATCCTTGCTTCTTGGTAATAGTTTTCTTTGGAAATATTTAAGTCTTTGTTTCTTTTAGGAATATTTATCCATCTGTAAGAATCCATCCTTCTTAAAAGGTTGGGTGCGGGGCATTTTCCCCTTTTCCTCCTGTTAGAAGACCAGCTTGCATCTGCTGTGTGCACACTTGGCAATCATCTCAGACGGGAAAGGACCACCTTAAATGTCAAGGAGACATAGAGACAGTTACCTCTGTGTTTCTGATGATTCCGTTTCTGGAAGAACCAGAAGTGCTAACTTCTGAGAGCTATTCTGAATGTTTTATCTGAGCCTACCCTTTCTCTTAGGATTTATACATTACAAACCTATTTCTTCTTCTTTCCTTAAAAACTCTAGGTCATATTCTAATTTTTGGTCTCTGTTCTGAAATTATAGCCCTCTGTGTGTCTTTTTCAAAAATCTGCCCCTTTCGCAAGACCTCCAGTGCCCCTGATCCATTCTCACCGCAGGTGAAGAGTGTGGTCATGGAAAGACTTCATAACAGAAAAACACGCGCTCTGCCCATTTCCGTGGTTTCACAACTCTCGTTCATTCTGACCTTAGCAACTACAAGAGTCTACAGTGACGCCCAGGTTCAGGTAACCAGTCCCTCTCCCCCTTGCATTTTCTTCTTATTCTCCTGCTTCTTCTATTTTCTCCTTCCTCAACTGTCTTCTCATGGTAATTAGGATAAAATTCAAACTCCTTGCCACAGGCTACAAAGGCCGGACAGAACCTGGCCCCTGCCTTCCCCTCTATCTTCTCCCTCCATGTTTCCTGGTTTGACAATACTCCAGGCATCACGATCTCCTGTTCCTTAAATAAACCCAGCTCCGTCAGATCTCAGGGGTTTTGCAATTGTCATTTTTTCGGTCTCTACTTCCTCTCATGGATGCCTCCTTTCCAGGAGTTCTATCTCCCTTGAAATGCCTTCCTCTCTGAGATGCCTTCCCTACTCGTCACCTGCATCTCCAGCACGCCATCACTGTCCATTAATTACGTCACATACTTTATTGATACGACTTTAGCAGGTTGGAATTAATTTATATCTTATCTTTTTTCATTATAGTGTAAATTCCTTGATGGCAGAGAATTCATGTGCCTTTTGATCACTTTATCTCTTAAGGACTAGATCAGTTCCTGGCACATGCTAGATGATATTTTTTGACCATCTGAATGTTTACTGGACACTAAACTGTGAACCGTGGTTCATGGGCAAATAAGTAGAAAATTTATTATCCCTCACCCAAAGGAAACTGGATAAATGGATTATGTTTCTATTATAATTGTTCTTTCCTAGAAGTGGCAAGAGTAGGTCAGAGGCCCTGTGGTATCTCAGGCATGGCTTAGAGTGAAAAGAATAGGATATGCCAAATTGTTTTATAGTAATTATACTGCATCTTTCAACTGAAATTCTATCAGTCATTCTTGTTTGGTCAAGTTTTGGAAGGTCTATTAGAACCCAAGAGAAAGAGATTAAAACGCTAACCTATATGTGTAGATTATAGGAACCAATGTTTTTGATCATCTACATTGTGGTTTTCCAGCATATTTCAAGCAGTGGAGCTTTCTTCAAATCAAAAGCCCTCCGACAAGTCCAACACACCTGTAAGTTAGCCTGGCTGATGGCCTGGCTGACATGGTGTGCCAGAACTTGCACCCTGCCTGCCAGGCACCTGTTCTAAGTCTTACCCCTCCAGGCAGTACCTGAAGTATGACCTACAGCACACAGATCTGCACAGAGCAAGGTCTGAAGAAATCACAAGCCTTAGACTGACTCCTTAATTTGGGAAATAGTCCGAGAGAGCTGATGTGCTTTATCCGAAGTTGTGACCAACTTCTTGAATCCTAGGGAACTGTGCCTTTACACATATTGTCTTTTATTCCTGGAGGACAACTTCTATCAAATCTGGTTAGCTCCTACCAATGGGAGTTCTTATATAGGGAGAGAAAAGTCAGAGGTTTTCAGTATCCAGGAGGCCTTGCCTAGAATTCTGTTGCTCCTTAGGACAGCAGCCATGAAGAATTGCCTTACAGAATTTCTCTTGCCACTTGGAAATCATCTTGAACTTGTCTTTAGCAGCAGAGACAAGAAAATGGGACTGCTTTCTCCAAATATTTTCAAATAACTTCATTGCACGGGATTTCCATGAATCAGAGACCATTAGGTGTCTTGACTTCCCATTTGTGAAGAGTAGCAGGACTCTGGTCAAGAAGTATAGCTCCTTTTCATGGGCATTTCTAATTTTTATTCTTAAGTGGATACCCAATTAGAAATAATTTGGTTGAATCGGCTGTTTATGGATTAGACATAGTGCAGATTATCTCATGCTAATTGGGAGTTCAGAGCCAAACACAGGAACTGGTACGATAGCAAACACTTTATAAATGTTTTTAATTAAGTGAATGGATTTCAGAGGGGTCATCTGGCAAATATAGTTTAACAATATACTAACTTGATTTCTCACTACAGATTGCGGCGGGTGGACATTATTTGTGCCACATGCAATTGTTGTATCCCAGGCATCGATGATGCCCACATTGAGATCTTGAAAGATATCCTTAATGGCTAGATACTGGACATAACCATGAAAGTCACTGAATCTTTCCACATCACCATGCATCTCCCTGATGTTTTCTGCCTTGATAATAACCATAGTGTCTGGGCTTCTCAGAAGAAGATGTTGAAGAGCCTTGTGGATATTGAGGGTCATTTGGATAAAAACATCAATGGGGAAGGGTCTGAAATGCTGGCCCAGAGAAATAGCAATGACAGTGCTCTTTCCTCCTCCAGTTCTGTCAATGACTCGAGATATATATTCAATTTCTTTCACTGAATAGGTCAATGGTTCAATCAGAGGGTAGCCATGTTTTTGCCACTGGATGTTGATATTCTCAAGTCCACAGCAACTTGGTGTTGAAGTCTTCCAGATTCATGCAGATCCACGGACTTCAGTGCTGATGACCAATAGACAATCCCAAAATGAAACAAGTGAAAAGTTACAAAGATGATAAAGACAGAAGAAAAGGTTTGGTGTTTATAATACATCAATCGTGACTGATTACAGGTTTAAATGAAGGAATAGTTTTGAAACTTACTTGAACAATCCGAAGTATTCCATGGATAAGAAGTTATATAAGAAGTTCCCTTTTAGAATGATGTAGAAGCATATTGACTGGGGATGGTAAGCACTGATGTAACTTAAGTTATATATATAGAATATATATAAGTATATAAAATTCCAGTCTTAGGGAAACAGAGTATTTGGAGAAATAGGTTTACTTGTGTGTTTTTTTTAATGCAAAGACATCAATTAGTACTTTCTCTATCTTCAAGCTTAATCTACAGCTCAAAAGATGTACAAAATACCTAAAAAATTAACTACATCATGCTCCAATGAAGTTACATCAGTGCTTACCATCCCCAGTCAGTTTGCTTCTATGTGATTCTACAAGAGAACATATGTAACTTCTTATCCATAGAACACACACAATTGTCATGTTGTAGAAGATCAAGAGATTAAATGGCCTGTTCAGGGTTACACAGCTAGTGTCGGACGCTGCACCTCGATTTGAAATTCCTCCCAATTCTTGTGAAAACTGTCTACCCAATCTTAGAACCCATGAAAATAGGAGCCTAATACGAATAGAATAAAATGAAGTCCTTCCATTTTCCATCCTATAAATTAGGCCTTTATCAGACTACTGGGGCCAGCTGCTTTGTAGTCAGAACTTCTGAGGAAAATATGTAGAAAAGGATTATTAATGCTTTGTAACAAGTGCCATCTTTGAAGTAAAGGGCTATATATAAAGTTTTCACCCACGGCGTTTGAAAATAAAGACACCGGAGCATTAGTGGAAGGAAAATGGCAATATCATTGTCTTCGTTCTGCTTCTAATTTACTTCAATTTCCTCTTCCAAAGTCTACTATAAAATCTAACTTTTAACAAAACATGCAACAGATATTTTGCTACAATTTAAAAGGTTAGACAAAGAGGGGGGGTAATTCATTAAATTCTGTGCTTTTCATAACCTAAGAGATCCACTGTTACATGGAAGGTGATGCTGAAGATTACCCCCAGATCCTGAGTTTTACGAACGAGAAAACTGAGGTCTGCAGGAGTTCAGAGATCACAGTTTACAACTCCCCCCTCTCCCCCCACCTTTTGTTGTGAATTCCACCTATTGCTTGGAGCCAAGTTCCCTACTGTTTTTCCCTTTTTATTGGGAGGATCAGCTGACCTTCTAAGTTTGAGATCCCAAGAGTGGCAGCATGTCAGGCCATAACAGAGCCACAGAAGGTGCACTGTCCCCAGGGAAGACAGACAGGACCCAGGACCCAGTAGGCAGGAAGTCACAGTTTGCCAGGTAAGAGTGCTAAGGTCAACCGGTGAATTCTGAATTATTATTGGTGCGTCCTTTGTTTAGTAGGTGGAGCAACTGGTGTAGGATTCTAGCCACTGGATTCCAACCCCAACTTGGACATGGGATACAGCTGCAGTAGCTCTTGTTTACTGGACCCTATGTGTCTATGGGCCTTGCTTGTTAAGTATTTATAACCATTATCTCATTTAGTCTTCATAACAACCACCAGATAATATTGTGTAGCTGGATGAGGAAAATGAGGCACAGAAAATAAGTAACACGTCAAAGGCCATCGCTTCTAAGTGGCATAGTCTATGTATGTTAGATAACACAGCCCATGCTTGTAAGTATTATTTCTAACGGATGCCAAGTCATCGCCTTGGTCCTGGATTCTCTCTCTTCGTGTAATGACAATAGGGACGACAGCTTACACCAAAGAGGGCTTACCTATGTAACAAACAATTCTAAAAGCATTGTATATATTACTTCATTTTGCCAGGTGTGTACTATTTTCACCTCCATTTTACACATGAAGAAACTTAGAGGGACAACAGTTATGTAACTTGCCCAAGATTACCCAGATAGGACCTGCAGAAGCCAGATTTTGCCCCCAGGAACTCTGGATCTAGAATCCACACCCTTAAGCATTATGCCGACTGTAGAAAA